GGTCAGGTGTTTGCCGCAGCGTCCAGGTCTGGTCCTGAGTCTGCCCCCTGTTCGTGTCGTCGTCTATCTCACGAGACCCTCCTCTGGCACCACCGCCTTGGCCACCCCTCTCTGCTTCGGCTCAGAGGCATGGCCTCCCGTCTTCTTGTGTCTGGTCTCCCCCGGTCTCTACCTCCCCTTCCTCAGGGCCCTGGCCCTGCCTGTGTCCCCTGTGTCGAGGGGCGCCAGCGTGCTGCCCCTCACTCCTCCCAGTTTCCTCCGACAGAGGCCCCGTTGCAGACGCTTCACATGGACGTGTGGGGCCCAGCCCGCGTCCGTGGACACGGTCAGGAGCGCTACTTCCTGCTCGTTGTTGACGACTACTCACGTTACACCACAGTCTTCCCCTTGCGCAGCAAGGGTGAGGTCACTGAGGTGCTGATCGACTGGATCCGCGCAGCTCGTCTTCAGCTCAGGCAAAGCTTTGGCTCCGACTTTCCTGTGTTGCGTCTGCACTCGGACAGAGGCGGAGAGTTCTCCTCTGGCCTTCTGCGTGCCTACTGTCGTGCGCGAGGCATCCGCCAGTCCTTCACGCTTCCGGACTCCCCGCAGCAAAATGGGATTGCTGAGCGCCGCATTGGCATGGTCATGGACGTCGCCCGTACGTCCATGATGCATGCGGCTGCCCCCCATTTTCTGTGGCCGTTTGCGGTCACGTACGCAGCGCATCAGATCAACCTCCACCCCAGGGTCTCCAGGCCGGAGACCTCCCCAGCCCTGCTGTGGACGGGGAAGGTTGGCGATGCGTCGGCGTTCCGGGTCTGGGGATCTCGGGCGTTTGTCCGCGACTTGTCTGCGGACAAGCTGTCCCCTCGCGCTGCTCCCTGCGTCTTCCTGGGGTTTCCCCCCGACGCCCCTGGGTGGCAGTTCTACCACCCCACCTCTCGACGTGTTCTGTCCTCCCAGGACGTCACGTTCGACGAGTCGGTACCCTACTACCGCCTCTTCCCCTACCGCACTCCGTCCCTCCCCCCACCCCCGCTCTTCTTGGTACCAGGTCCCCCCCCAGTAGACCCCCTCCCCCCTCAGGGTCCTGCCCCTTCAGGTGTGTCCCAGGTTAACGCGGTCGAGCCTGTCGAGGTCACTGGTGACTCTGGTGCTGCTGCGGGAGCTGAGCCTGGGGGTGCGGAGTCTGGGGGTGCTGAGCCTGGGGGTGTTGAGCCTGGAGGTGCCGAGCCTGGGGGTGCTGAGCCTGGGGGTGCTGCGCCTGGGGGTGCTGAGCATGGGGGTGCTGAGCCTGGGGGTGCTGAGCCTGGGGGTGCTGAGCCTGGGGGTGCTGAGCCTGGGGGTGCTGTGCCTGGGGGTGCTTCGTCTCGCCGGGAGCCACTCTCCCCACAGGAGCTGCGTGAGTGGTTTGCCAGGCGCTGGAGGCGTGCTGCTGGTGCTGGTGGTTCTTCGGCTGCAGAGGGTACTGCTGCCGCGCGTCCCGGCGGTGCTTGTACTGTGGGTGCTGGAGCTGCTGGGTCTAAGGGTTCTCCTGGAGCTGGTGCTGCTGAGGGTGTTGGCGCTGTGCCTGCCGCTGGCGGTCCGACTGACAGTGCTCCTGGTGCTGCTGCTGGAGGTTCTGGTGCTGCTGGAGGTGCTACTGTAGTGGGTGCTCCTGCTGGGGGTACTGGTGCTGTTCCTGCTGTTTCTGGCGTCGCCGCGCGGCCCCGACCGTACTTCGTTCCGCTCCTGCAGCAGGTTCTTGGTCTTACACCTCCTCCTCCCTTAGAGGGTCCGCAGCCTGTCCGGTCACAGCCACAGCTACAGCCTGCCTCCCCTTTGCCTGCTCCTTCTCCCTACGCTGGTCCGACTGGAGGTCTTACTGAGCGTCGTGAGCCTGCGTCTCGTCCTGCGTCGCCTGTTCGTACTGAGCGCGCTAGTGGTCGCGGGTCGCGTCAGCGTCCTCCTCCTGTCCCTGGCACGCACCGGATGTCACTGCGTCCGTCCACTGCTCCTCTGCGTGCCCCTTTGCCTTCTCCTCCTGCTTCCTCGCTTCCTGCACTTGTCGACCCGGAGTCGGACTCTCTTCGTGCTGCCAGTCCTACTGTCACGCGTCTCCTTGCTACTGCTGTCACTGACCCTTCCTTCGAGTCGTCTGCTGCGTCTGCCCTTGTCACTGAGCTTGTCGACTTTGCTGCACGCTGTCGTCTAGACTACGCTGCCAGTCTTGTCGCTGAGTCTGATTCTGCCTGTCCTCCGTCCGTCGGGGGTGAGTGTGCCCTCGGCACGGACGTCCTTGAGGACAGGCAGGAGGAGTTCCAGTGTCTGGCTGCCGCTTCACCTCATCTCGCGTCTGTACTACTAGCCCCTGAGGGAGACCCGGATGCACCATACATCCCGACTCCGCGCTCTTACGCGGAGGCGATAGAGGGTCCCTACTCCTCTCAGTGGCAGGCAGCTATGGATGCAGAGATGGCTTCCTGGAAGTCCAAAGGCACCTACGTCGACGCTGTTCCCCCTCCTGGGGCGAACATCGTCAGTGGCATGTGGATTTTCAGGGTGAAGCGGCCGCCGGGTTCACCGCCTGTCTTCAAGGCGCGTTACGTGGCTCGTGGCTTCAGTCAGCGGCAGGGGGTTGACTACTTTCAGACCTTCTCCCCCACCCCGAAGATGACTACTCTTCGGGTTCTGCTGCACATTGCTGCTCACCGTGACTACGAGCTGCACTCTCTCGACTTCAGCACAGCTTTCTTGCAGGGCAGTCTGCACGAGGAGATCTGGCTGCGTCGCCCACCTGGCTTCACTGGGTCTTTCCCTCCTGGTACCCAGTGGAGTCTCCGGCGTCCAGTCTACGGTCTCCGCCAGGCGCCACGTGAGTGGCACGACACACTGAGAACTACGCTCGCTGCACTTGGGTTTGCTCCGTCTACTGCCGACCCGTCGCTGCTTCTGCGCACCGACACCTCTCTGCCGCCGTTCTACATCCTCGTGTACGTCGACGACTTGGTCTTTGCCACAGCTGACACGGCTGGACTCGCCTACGTGAAGTCCGAGCTGCAGAAGAGACACACGTGCACTGACCTGGGTGAACTGCGTAGCTACCTTGGCTTGCAGATCACCCGGGACAGAGCGCGCCGCACCATTACCCTGACTCAGTCACACATGGTGCAGCAGGTCCTTCAGCGCTTCGGCTTCACGTACTCCTCGCCTCAGGCCACTCCTCTGCCTACTCGCCACTCACTCTCAGCTCTGCCTTCGGATGAGTCCTTAGAGTCGAGTGGCCCGTTTGCAGAGCTTGTTGGCTGCCTCATGTACCTGATGACCTGCACACGACCTGACCTTGCATACCCTCTTAGTATTCTCGCACGCTATGTTGCTCCTGGGAGACACCGACCAGAGCACATGGCTGCAGCGAAGAGGGTGTTGCGCTACTTGTGCAGCACGTCGGGCATGGGGCCTGTGCTTGGAGGGCGCAGTCCAGTGGTCCTCACTGGGCACGCAGACGCTTCTTGGGCTGACGACCAGGCTACGCAGCGGTCGTCACAGGGTTACACCTTCAGCCTTGGTTCCGGCTCTGTTTCGTGGCGGGCTACCCGCTCGTCTTCTGTTCTCGGCTCCAGTTGTGAGGCTGAGATCTACGCTGGGGCTATGGCTGCGCAGGAGTTACGTTGGCTCACCTACCTGCTGACCGACCTTGGAGAGCAGCCTCGTTCTCCTCCAGTCCTGTACGTAGACAACAAGGCCATGCTGGCCTTGTGTAGAGAGCAGCGACTGGAGCACAGAACGAAGCACATTGCTCTCCGCTACTTTCTTGCTCGTGAGCTACAGCAGCGTGGACAGTTGCGACTTGCGTACGTGGCCTCTGAGGCCAACACTGCTGATGTCTTCACCAAGGCACTTGCGCCTTGTGATCATCAGCGTTGTTGCACGCAGTTGGGTCTTGTGCCTGTCTTGCCTCACTTGCTCTCCTCTTGACCTTGCTTGTACCTTCGCCTATATATACTCTTGTTCTTGCTTGTTTGCCTCTTGTATATCTCTATATATGATCTTGCATGTGAACTGGCCTTCTGGCCTTTGAACTTGTGCTCGGAATGCGTGGTGACTTTGTGATCCACCCTGAGCTTTGCTTTGTTTTGCTTGACTGGTCTTGTGACCCCTTGTTCTCCCCCACTTTGCCTATGGGGGTGTGTCAGAACATATAGCTTACTTGTTTCTGTAGGCTATAGTGGGGTATCCCATAAGGGGTACAACCCAATCAGGGTTTCCTATTTGTACTCACTTCGTTCATAGTCATTTCATTCTCGTTCACTTCTTCTCAAAAACGACAGCATTTCGGCTCGCAGCTGCTGACAACTGGAGATACTGCAGCAGGAGAGTGATTGATGCTGCCACGCGGAGTTCTTGGGGTGGCATGGCAGTCCATTTTCGAAATGGGGGAGAAAGAGCACTTGGCAAATTCCCGACAGCTTCGTCAGACCCTGACATCACGATGAACGTCGTTATCAATTTCACCGACACCGACGGATTTCTACTCATCGACCTCTGACAGCGTGTCAGACCCCGCCCTGCATCGCGCTCATCTTCACCGTCTGAATCGAAACCACTACATATCATTCAATCACGTATTCAGTTTGGCACTTCAATCTCGATCGTCAGAACGACATCTGGGAAATTCGACGGCTGACATTCCAACTCTATTCGAATTTCGTCCGGTCAACCAGTCAAGCTCGCGTCAACTCGATGGTCAACGCTATTTGCACCGTCCGATCAGCTTCGACCGAGATCTGCAGTTTTCACGCTACTGCAAGACTCGACTATAGATAAGGGGGCCTTATTTAGAAGGTGGGAGAGTGTAATGAATATACATTCATTACTGTAGAAGCTGCTCCTAGCGAGGACAGCCCGAGCACTTCGCGTCAGGATGGCTCGGCCTACAATTCCGCACCAAACCAAGTCCGAGTCGCCCCGCACCAATCGCGACATTCCCGAGCCACGCGCACCTAGAGGTTCTCGCCTAGCTAGTTTTCGCCCTATAAATGCTCGCTTTCTTCATTGTGTGATCATTCTGTAATCACGTTTTCTTTATAAAGTCTTCCGCGCACTCTGTCTAGTAAAACTCATAACATTCCACTTGGGATTGTAACTGAAACGGGTTACCATCAAAAGTTAAACCATTTTTCCGAACTCTACACCAAAAGACACGCGCCCTTATGAATTTCGACAAATTCCTCTTTTTGCGAAATAGTGCCAGTGCTCTGGCATATCTTCGATAATATGCGATGCGAGTGACTCTTTTGTGACCGCTAGTTACAACCAGAGACTAGCGCACTGGGAAAGAGCCGCGCGGCACACGGTGCTTCGCGCTGCTCTCGTTGCTCGCTCGCGCCACTCTTTCCGCATTCGTCGCGTTCCGCATCTCTCGCCACTCCAGGTACGCACGGAGCGCGCGGCCCCCGCCCCTCACGCCTCGGCCCCCCGCGTTCCACTCCCTCGCCCCTCCAGCCGCAGGCCCTTTCGTCCGTCCTCTTCCCGGCGCTCTCGTGCAATTCCACCCGTCTTTCACACGCGCCATTTCCCACTGCTTCCGCCCCTTCAAAGGGCGAGTCGCCCTGCCACACTCCACTCGTGCCGCGCGTGCCCCGCGCGACCCTCGTCGCCGCGCCCCCGCTGTCCTGCTATCCCGCTATCCCTCTGGCTCTCGCTTCCCCCGTCTTCCTCTCTTCGTCCCCCCAGCCTGCCTCTCTCCCCGCCCCTTATTCTCCACTCACTGCCTCCCTCCTTCTCATCCCTCTTCGTGAGGAATAGCGGTGGGCGGGTGAGGGTGGGCGGGTGAGGGTGGGCGGGTGAGGGGAGGCGGGTGAGGAGAAGATCTACGGTTGAGGTGGTGACGGGGTGAAAGGGGACGGTTAGGATCCGTAGTTAGAGTGAGAGGTATGAGGGGTGCGAGTAGGAGAGAACGGAAGCAGGATCAAGCATGGGGATAAGGAGGGGAGTGTTGAGGAGAGGAGGAGAAGAGGAGTGCAGTAAGCGTTGTGCATGAGAGGGGAAGGGGTGAAACCAGGGGGGGGTTGCTGGCGAGAGTGAGAATGAGGAAAGACGTTCGTTGCCAGCAACCACCCCTCGTGCTGGGGTGGTGTGATGCCTTGCAACCACCCCTCGTGCTGGGGTGGTGTGATGCCTTGCAACCACCCCTCGTGCTGGGGTGGTGTGATGCCTTGCCACGCACCACGCACCACGTGCCCTCTATGTCTCCGTTCACGCCTCTCTCCCCCTCTTTCCTCTCGCCTCTCTCCTCTCGTGCTGCAGCCATGGCACCCCACGATGACGTGGCGAATCATCCACCTGTGCCTGATGACGTGGCAAGTCGTCCCCGCGTGTTGGTTCTGGGCTCTCCCTCTGTCGGCAAAACCACCCTCGCACACCGTATGCCTTCCCTCCCCACCCTCGCACACCGTATGCCTTCCCTCCGCACTCTCTTCTGCCTCCCCTCCCTCGGCGTCTCCCCTTTCTCATCATCCCTCTCCCTGCAGCCATTTCGCCCTCCCTGCTCCGCCCTCCCTGCTCCGCCCTCCCTGCTCCTCTCCCCATCCCTGCTGCGTTCGCCCTTCACCATGACCGGCTTTCTAATTCCTTGTGGCCCATTTCCATTCTCTCTTCCCAGTTCGTCTCCCCATTTCCCACTGCCCATTCCTTCTTCTCATTCCTTTTCCCATACCTCTTCATTCTCCCATACCTCTTCATTCTCCCATACCTCTTCATTCTCCCATACCTCTTCATTCTCCCATACCTCTTCATTCTCCCATAGCTCTTCAATCTCCCATAGCTCTTCATTCTCCCATACCTCTTCATTCTCCCATAGCTCTTCATTCTCCCATAGCTCTTCATTCTCCCATACCTCTTCATTCTCCCATAGCTCTTCATTCTCCCATAGCTCTTCATTCTCCCATACCTCTTCATTCTCCCATAGCTCTTCATTCTCCCATAGCTCTTCATTCTCCCATACCTCTTCATTCTCCCATAGCTCTTCATCTCCCCCACCCGACCAATCATCCCCCTTCTCACCCGCCTTCACCCCTTTCCACTGGTGGCGCTGCAGGGCTCACAGGTGCACACCCCCACGAGTACAGCAGCACAAGCTCCAACACGGCTGCAGGAGAGTGTTTCAGGTGGGTGCAAGGGCGGTAGGGGGCCGAGTCGAGGTGGGGCGCCGTTTGAGCGCTTGCTTCAAAGAGGCACGAGGGAGGAGGGGGGCACATTCGACACGAGGGAGGAGGGGGGCACATTCGACACAAGGGAGGAGGGGGGCACATTCGACACGAGGGAGGAGGGGTGCACATTCGACACGAGGGAGGAGGGGGGCACATTCGACTTGTGCTCTTGAGCTTGCGCGCCATGTGCGCCACACCACACCCGCATGACTCTGCATATCTGCGCTCCACCAGCGCCATCCATGCAAGGCTGGAGTGTGGACCTTTTCCGGAGGCTATCTGGACTGGACTGCAGTTCACACCAACAAGTACACACCTCCCCTCCCTCATCCCTCTCACAGCTCCCCTCCCTCATCCCTCTCACAGCTCCCCTCCCTCATCCCTCTCACAGCTCCCCTCCCTCATCCCTCTCACAGCTCCCCTCCCTCATCCCTCTCACAGCTCCCCTTCCTCATCCCTCTCACAGCTCCCCTCCCTCATCCCTCTCACAGCTCCCCTCCCTCATCCCTCTCACAGCTCCCCTCCCTCATCCCTCTCACAGCTCCCCTCCCTCATCCCTCTCACAGCTCCCCTCCCTCATCCCTCTCACAGCTCCCCTCCCTCATCCCTCTCACAGCTCCCCTCCCTCATCCCTCTCACAGCTCCCCTCCCTCATCCCTCTCACAGCTCCCCTCCCTCATCCCTCTCACAGCTCCCCTCCCTCATCCCTCTCACAGCTCCCCTCCCTCATCCCTCTCACAGCTCCCCTCCCTCATCCCTCTCACAGCTCCCCTCCCTCATCCCTCTCACAGCTCCCCTCCCTCATCCCTCTCACAGCTCCCCTCCCTCATCCCTCTCACAGCTCCCCTCCCTCATCCCTCTCACAGCTCCCCTCCCTCATCCCTCTCACAGCTCCCCTCCCTCATCCCTCTCACAGCTCCCCTCCCTCATCCCTCTCACAGCTCCCCTCCCTCATCCCCCTCACAGCTCAAGAGCTTCGCCAACAACCCCATCCCTCATTCCTCTTCCCTCCTTTCACACATGCCACGTGCTCACGAACCCCCCCAGCCCTTCTCCTTCCTCCGCCACCTCTCTCCCGTTCCCCCTCACAACTGGCACGGGGACACAGAGCGCTACACGGCTCAGGAATCCCCCCAACGCCCCCAACACCCCTTTTATCCGCAAAAATTCCCTTCCTTCCTCCCTCCCTTATCAGCTGGCAGGTAGACACCAAGTATTACACGGCAGCAGTGGCCGTGTGGACGGCGCGCCTCTCCTCCGTGCTGCCCTGCAGCACCACCAGCCCCGCCTCGCCCCTCGTGAGAGGAGTTGAGGCGCTGCTGCTCGTCTTCGACCTCTCCAATGTGAGCCCGGGGCGTCAGTAGGTTGAGCTGGAAATAGGCGAGGCTCTCCAGTGAGCTGCCAGTAGGCAGTAGGCAGTAGGCAGTAGGCAGTAGGCAGTAGGCAGTAGGCAGTATGCAGTAAGCAGTAGGCAGTAGGCAGTAGGCAGTAGGCAGTAGGCAGTAGGCAGTAGGCAGTAGGCAGTAGGCTGCTCACTGCTCACTGCTCACTGCTGCTGCCCCAGGCCTCGCCCCTCGTGACGGGAGCTGAGGCGCTGCTGCACGTCTTGGACCTCTCCACTGTGTTTGCAGGGGGGAAGGATGTGGGTGGGGGTGGTGGTGGGAGAGGGGTAGTGCCGTCGTGGGGTGAGGCCCATTCTCTTCCTTATACCATCCACTGCTTCCGTTTCCTCTCTGCCTTGCTCACGCAAATGCTTCTTGTGACCTGACCAGCATAATTCCCCGGTTCCCCCCAACCCCCACCCTCCTCCTTCCCTTCAACCCCTTGCGCCGCCCTCTTTCCCCCATGCCCCCTCTTCTCCTTCCTCTCTCCCGTGTGCTAGCCCGCAGCATTCACAGCAGTGCAGAGGCGGGCATGTACAGCCAATCACGCTCACCTTCCCACTATATCCCTTAAAACCCACCCCCACCCTTCCACGGTCCCACCCTCCTCTCCCCCCTCTCCCCTGCCAGCTGGCATCGTTCACGGCAGGGCAGTGCAGAGGTGGGTGGCAGGCAGGTGCTGTGCTGCCAACCACGCTCACTCTCCCTTCCCACTGCGCTGTTTCTCTTAGCAATCACCCGCCGCCGCCGCCCTCCCAACCTCCCCTCCTCCCTGGCTCCCCTGGCAGCCCTTGTCATTCGCATGGCAGCAGTGCAGAGGCGGGCAGGTGCGGTGCTGTGCTGCCAGCCACGCTCACTCTCCCACCGTGTCCCCCCCTCCTCCTCCCCCCCCGTGCCAGCCAGCGTCATTCGCGGCCGTGCAGAGGTGGGCAGAGCGGGCAGACCTGAGTCGCTTTGAGATCCGCCTATGCGTCGGCAACAAGGCAGACCGGGTGCGGCGAGGGGGCAGTGCGGGTGAGAGAAGCAGGCGTGGGCGGCAGAGAGGAGGGGGGAGAGACGGGGAGGAGCAGAGTGACTTTGATGGCGCCATGCTGCTGGGCGCAGGCAGGGGGGATGGGGAGGAAGCGGGGGAGGGGGAGGGAGAGAAGGCAGAAGCTGGGGAATCTGTGGATGCGGGAGAAGTGGAGAGGGAGTGGAGCAGCGAGGGGGCAGGAGAGGGAGGTAGAGGGCAGGAAGGGGAGGTGAGGCGGCGGCAGTGCGAGGAGTGGTGTGCGGATAACGGCATCGAGTACGTGGAGGCGTGTGCTGCCCATGAGGAGATTGACGCTGGTGAGTGGGGAGTGGGCCTGAGTGAGTGAGTGAGTGAGTGAGTGACTGAGTGGTGTGTGACAATGGCATTGAGTACGTGGAGGCGTGTGCTGCCCACGAAGCAATAGATGCTGGTGAGTGGGCCTGGGTGAGTGAGTGTGTGGCGTCAGTGGGCGTGAGTGAGTGAGTGTGTGGCGTCAGTGGGCGTGCGCATGTGACTCGGAACGAGTGGTCGTAACAATGGCATCGAGTATGTGGAGGCGTGTGCTCACAGCAACAGATGGATGCTTGTGAGAGGGAGTGCGTGAGTGAGTGAGTGAGTGAGTGAGTGAGTGGGCCTGATTGAGTGGTCTGGAGTGAGTGAAGTGCCGGCAATGGTATCAGGTACGTGGAGGCATGTGCAGCCAGCAAGGCAATGGGTGCCGGTGAGAATCTGTGCAATGGGTGCCGGTGAGAAGCTGTGCAATGGGTGCCGGTGAGAAGCTGTGCTTCTTCTTGCCTTGCCTGTTCTTGCCTATATTGTTCTCCCTCTCCTATAGCGAAACCCTCTCTCCACTCTCGCTACTCCAGCTATTCCCTCCTAAACCTAGGCTTCCTACGTATCTCAACTTCTCGACAATGTCATGTCATGCCAGGTCCAGTCAGGCCAGGAGCACAGTGCAAGGTGTCAGACCGGTCACACCTTGCATGCACGCGTGGCCATTGGAGGCCAGTCCCTTGAGCCGCACAGCCATCCCCTCATGCCTCACAGCACAACACACCCCACCACTCATGCCAGCTCCCTTTCCCCATGCCCCTCCACGCACAGCCTGGGCGCGGACAGTGTCATGCACGCCGTGCAGCGCATGCACAGCGCCCTCAACCACCTTGCATGCACATGCGCCCTCAACCACCTTGCATGCACATGCGCCCTCAACCACCTTGCATGCACATGCGCCCTCAACCACCTTGCATGCACATGCGCCCTCAACCACCTTGCATGCACATGCGCCCTCAACCACCTTGCATGCACATGCGCCCTCAACCACCTTGCATGCACATGCGCCCTCAACCACCTTGCATGCACATGCGCCCTCAACCACCTTGCATGCACATGCGCCCTCAACCACCTTGCATGCACATGCGCCCTCAACCACCTTGCATGCACATGCGCCCTCAACCACCTTGCATGCGCATGTGGCCGAGGCCTCGCATTGAAAGCTCGTGCCATGCACCCAATGCATGGTAGCGCGTACCATTGCCCACTGTGCATGCTCGGACTGCAGCGCATCCGCTTGGCCCTGGGCGCTCACATGTGGCAGGGGCTGTCGCTTGTGTTCCTCGTGTGTGCCCCACCCCTCACGTCCCCTCCCCCCACCCGCCTCCAACCCATGTACGCACAGCCCTGGGCACGGACGGAGAGATGCAAGGCATACAGCGCATCCGCACGGCCCTGGGCGCGCACATGTGGCCGGGGCTGGCACTCAAGGCGCCAGGGGGGGCGCGGGGTGCTCCCATGCAGGGGCTGTCGCAGCTCATGGGGCTGGCGGGCAGCCATGCATCACACACGCATGAAGGTGCGTTCATCTGCTTCCTCCCTGGGAGGAGCAGCACGGATACATGCACACTCGTGCATTCACAAGTGTTTCCACTCGTGGCTCTGCTCCCCTCATTCCCTCCCCTGTCCCCCACGCCTCCAATCCCTCAGCACCCCCCCCTTCTTGCTTCTGCATCATGACCATCACACCTGAACCCACTTCTTGCCACACCAGACACCAGACCCAATTGTTGCTCATAGCTCTCCATTCGTCTGCTGCATGTGATAACATCGCAACGCCTGCATCGCCCCTATCGTCTCGTATCTCCCCTCATCTGCTTCTCCCCGCACCCCCACTCACCTCCCAATACAGCCGCCCACCACACAGCCCAACCTGACTCACCGCATTGCTCCTCGGCATCAGGCAGCAGCACTAACAGTGACAGCGATGGTCGCACTGCCAGCGACCCCACCTCCTTTCACCGCCTTCTTGACGCCTCTAGCCTTGCTCTGTTTCCATCACCCCCACACCCCCGCCCACCTCCCTTTATGTCCACCCATCACACAGGCCAACCCGACTCACCGCATTCGTCCTCGGCATCAGAGGAGAGCACCGACACTGACAGCGACAGCGACCCCGCGTCCTTGGACCCAACGCACTTCCCCTACCACCGCCTCGACGACGCCCCTGACCCTGCGCTGCCCCACTCGCCGCCCGCCCACCCCTCCCTCGTCTCCGCTCCCTGCGCTGCTTCTTCTGCCAGCAATGGGTCTGTGCCTGCTGGTGAGGTTGGCAGTGCAGCTGGTGCTGGTGTTTCTGGTGAAACTGCTGGTGTTGCCGGTGAGGCTGCCGGGAAGGACGAGGAACGGAAGGAGAAAGAGGAGGGGAGCGAGGCGGATGAGGATTTTGGGCCGTTTGTGCATGGATCGGATGGTGCTGGTAGTTCGGATGCTGCTGGTAGTTCGGATGCTGCTGGTAGTTCGGATGCTGCTGCTGGTTCGGATGCTGCTGCTGGTTCGGATGCTGCTGCTGGTTTGGATGCTGCTGCTGGTTCGGATGCTGCTGCTGGTTCGGATGCTGGTGCTGGTTCGGATGCTGCTGCTGGTTCAGATGCTGCTGCTGGTTCGGATGCCGTCGCTGGTTTGGATGGTGCCGCTGGTTTGGATGGTGCCGCTGGTTCAAATGCCGCCTCTGGTTCGGCTCATGACACGTGCGGCTTGAACGGAGAGAACAATAAGGAGAAAACCCAGTGTGCAGCCGTGGCAGGTGACACCCACAAGAGTGACACCCACGACAGTGACCGCACTGATAGTGACACCCGTGAGGGGGTGCACTTGCACCCGTTTGACCACGGCGATGCTGACGAGGCAAGGGCGGACATGGACGGCATGGAGCGTCTGTTTCTGCAGGTGGCGTCGGTGCGCAGCAGCCTGCAGAACGCGCCTGATGCTGTTCGGCGCGACACGGCCGCCCGGCTGGCCATGCAGATTGCACAGATGCTGGGGGGCGATGATGATGATGCGTGGGGGTGACCCGTGGGGTTGATGCATGGGGTTGATTCATGGGGTTGATGCATGGAAGGAAGCGCTAGTGTGGGAGTGTTGTTTCTCTGTTGTGATTGGTGGTGACGCTGGTGGAAATTTCGAAGCTTGCCTTTTTTTTCCAGTTGAATTGTGTACAAGCCCATTGCGTGTATACTACTACCACGTCACCTGGATGTGTCCCTCAAGCATATCCCATGCAAGCTTGCTCCAGAAGCTGGTCCTCTCCATGAGTGCGGGTTTTGTTTTTTCAAGTCTGAACTGTTTAGGAGTGAGTTCCTTGCTTTTTGGCTTCTTTCTTTATATCATAATCGGGATTTCACATGGTCAGCTCGTGTTACACGAGTGTACTCGTTAGCCGATCGAATATGCTCGTGAGCGATACGGCTTGTCTGTGCAGGACTGCGCCACCCAGCAGCCATCACAAGCCCCTGCCTGATTCAGTCACCGAACTCGCTTGTGAGTGTTTCATCTTAGCACACAGTGATAGTCGCCCTTGTGTGCCCTCACTCGCGACAGCCAGGGCCAATCACACCGGGGAGGAGCGTGCCAAGCAGAAAGAAGGAAACCAAGGCACGAAAGAAGGAAACCAAGGCACGAAACTGTCTGTCGCGCGACCCTCGTGTCGCGCTCGCGCCACTCCACAAGCCGCATTCGCCGCGCTCCGCATCTCTCGCCACGCGAGGTGCGCACGGAGCTCGCCGCGCCCCTCGTCTCCCCGCGCCCTCCACTCCCCTCTCCCTCTCCGCCCTCCCCTGGCCGCTAGTCCTTTTCGTCCTTCGTCTTCCCCGTTCTCGCGTCGTTTCCGCCCACTCTTCCCCTGCTCTCGTGCAAACGGGTGAAGGGAGGCGTTAGAGTCTGTTCTTAGAGTGACAGGGGCGTGTGAGAGGGGCGAGGGGTGAGAGGAGGCGAAGAACGAAGCAGGAGCAAGGGCGAGGAGAGGAGGAGAAGAGGAGAGTGGTGCGATCGTGGAGTGTGGGAGGAGAATAGATGAAGGGAGAGAGGCCGATTGCGTGCGCGGGCGAAGAGGAAATCTCCGCATTTGTGCACTCCCCCTTCCCCTTCCCACACCCTAGTGCACTGCCTCTTTCCCTCTCTCCCCTCTCTCCCCTCTCCCCTCTTCCCTCTTCCCATCTTCCAACCGGTTCCCTCCCCTCTCTATCTTCCGCGCCTTCCCAGTCAGCCTCGCACGTCAGCGAAACTCCCCCCTCCCTCGCATCCCTGCATGTCTACCCCCCCACCATACAGCCCAACCCATCCCATCCCAGCCGAGCTCTCCCCACCCCATCCCACCCCATCCCACTCCATCCCACCCCAGCTGACCGCATTGATTGCGAATCGAGTGCTGTGAGTCCGGCAAGCATCTCAGGCGCCAGGCTAGCGGTCCAGCACAGGGGGAAGGGGGGGAAGGGGAGGGGGGTGCCATGGGCGGCAGCGAGGGCAAGGGGGGCGAGGGGGGGAGGGGGCGCGTGGTGTGTGTGACGTGTGGGGCGCGGAGGGAGCAGCTGTACCGCGTGCACTCGCCCGGCAGCATTGAGGTGCTCAAATGTGTGAGTGCTGCCCTCCTTGCCCCCATTCCCCATGCGTGAGTGCTCAAATGCGTGAGTGCTCAAATGCGTGAGTGCTCAAATGCGTGAGTGCTCAAATGCGTGAGTGCTCAAATGCGTGAGTGCTCAAATGCGTGAGTGCTCAAATGCGTGAGTGCTCAAATGCGTGAGTGCTCAAATGCATGAGTGCAGTGCTGCCCTCCACGCCCTCGTGCCGCCATGCCCCCTTGTCCCTTACATCACTTCGGTGACTGGAGTGCCACTCTCTCGTTCCAATCCCCTCTCCCACGCCCTGTCCCGCGCCCAATGCCCCATATCTCATGCCTCATGCCAATACCCATACCCAATGTCCCATGCCCCACGCCCCACGCCGAATGCCCCATGCCCTGCGCGCGTCACCAGGGCGAGTGTGGAGCTGCAGCCGACCCCTACGTCGAGTGCGACCCCCTGGTGCGCCCCCCCTCCCCTTGGTGCGCCCCCTCTCCCCCTGGTGCAGCCCTGCTCCCCCTGGATCATGGTGCGCCCCCTCTCCCCCTGGTGCAGCCCTGCTCCCCCTGGATCATGGTGCGCCCCCCCTCCCACCCCCCTGGTGCGGCCCCTTCCCCATGGTGCCCTTCACCTCCCATTCCCCTGGTGCGCCCCCCCTCCCCATCCCCGGGTGCGCACCCCCTTGCGATGCCCTTCTCTCCCCACCTGCTGAGCCACCCCCACGCACCACGGGCGCATGTTTTAGTCGACTCAGACTCAGCCCTCCACCCCCCCATGTGACTCCCCACTCCCCTCGCTCCTGCCTGAAGCACCTCCTGCTGCCCCCTCATCCCCATCTCCCCCATGCCTCCTGTGTCCCCCTCAGTCCCATGTGCTCCTGCTTCCCCCACCCATGCCCCTCCTGCCCTTTCACCCGTGCGCAACATCTGCCCCCCCACCCATCCCCCGCTCCTTTCCCCGTCTACCATTCCAACTAGTGCTACTGGACGTGCTGCTCTTAAAGCCCCAGGCGCCCTGTCTGATTCCCCTCCCCTCGCTTGCCCCTCTCTCCCCCCAACCCTCAGCTGGTGCTGCTGGACGTGCTGCTCTTAAAGCCCCAGGCGCACCGCCATGTGGTGCACAACCTCGTGCTTGCCTCACCCACGCCCCATGCAGTGAGTGTACGGAGGGTTCTCTTGAAACGAAAGGCCTGAATGCGTTTTTTTGAGAATTTTCAAAAACGCACCCACCCCGAATGCAGTGAGTATGGAGAACAGAGGACCCTAGATGAAGGAAGTGATTCGGAATGAAGCGCCCTGAAACGCCGTCGTGAGGATGTTTCTGTTGGTTGTTTTCCTCCTGAGAACGCACCACCGCTCAGACTGTTGAACCGCACCAATATGACCCCCTCTGAAGTCTCTTCACCTGCTGTTTCCGTCACCTGCTGCCACCATGTGCCTCGTGCTGCCGGCTCAGCAAAGGCACCTGATGCGAATCTTCATGGACTCCTACCCTGCAGTCGTGTGAGACGATTTTCGAGGCGCGAAAACCAGCGGCTCGACAAAATCACCTGTTCAGAGACTTCATGGACTGCAGTCGTGTGACGTGGCAACGAGCTCGGCAGCTGGTTGCTCTTCATTGAGCTCTCTGTCCCCCAACCCACCACCCCCTGTGTGTGTGTCTACAAGTCAAGCTCTCCTGTGTCGCCACGCCAACCATCTCCTCTTCCGCCCTCATTTGACTGTCATCTCTCTCACCATTCCCTTGTGCCCCAACTCCTCCCGAATGCGCCTGCTGTGCGCCCAGCAGCGCCCGCTGTGCCTCGCCACAGCCCTCATTCTGCTCTGCCATGCCAGTGAGTCACTCATCTCATCGCATGCCATCATGCCAGCGAGTCGCATGCATAATACGTTGCACGAGCTCACATACTCATATGATGCCATTCATTCGCTTCACTCAAAAACCATGTCTTCCACACTGAAGCTCCTCCGCCACTCTCTCAACGTCGGCCTTTCCCTGTCACTCCCCCTTCCCGCTTTCCACCGTGTCTCAACCCTTCCCACCTCCGTGCGCCGCCCTGAAGCACCTCCGCATGAGGCCCACCATCCGCATGAGGCCCACCATCCGCATGAGGCCCACCATCCCACCATCCCACCATCCCACCATCCCACCATCCCCCTTCCGCACATGCCTCTCCGCCCATGCCGTATCACCACCCTCGCACAAGACCTGTTAGCCATCCCTCTCCGCCCTCCACCCACCTTGCTTGCCCCCCTCCAACTGTTCGCTTCCACTCCCTCCAACCCTGTCACACCTGCCGCTCACGCCCGCCGCCCATCACGTGGCAGCGCTGCTGGTGTTCCGGGCGGCACACGGCATCACAGTTGACCCTGCACACCTTCTCTCCCTCCCCATCATCGCCCAGGTACTCACCCCCCCAGGTACTGCCTCCCTCAGGTGCTGAGACCCCCCCAGGTACTGCCTCCCCCAGGTACTGCCTCCCCCAGGTACTGCCTCCCCCAGGTACTGCCTCCCCCTGGTACTGCCTCCCCATGTGCTGCCTCCCCCAGGTACTGCCTCCCCCATGTGCTGCCTCCCCCAGGTGCTGCCTCTTTCAGTGGTGCTCGCCTCAGGTGTTGCCTCAAGCCATCCGTGCAGTTGTGTTTGTCACATAATGCGTATGTGCGTATATGTATGTGCGTATATGTATGTGCGTATATGTATGTGCGTATATGTATGTGCGTATATGTATGTGCGTATATGTATGTGCGTATCTGTATGTGTGTATATGTATGTGCGTATATGTATGTGCGTATATGTATGTGCGTATATGTATGTGCGTATATGTATGTGCGTATATGTATGTGTGTATATGTATGTGCGTATATGTATGTGCGTATATGTATGTGCGTATATGTATGTGCGTATATGTATGTGCGTATATGTATGTGTGTATATGTATGTGCGTATATGTATGTGCGTATATGTATGTGCGTATATGTATGTGCGTATATGTATGTGCGTATATTTATGTGCATATATGTATGTGCGTATATGTATGTGCATATACGTATGTGCGTATATGTATGTGCGCATATGTATGTGCGTATATGTATGTGTGTATATGTATGTGCGTATATGTATGTGCGTATATGTATGTGTGTATATGTATGTGCGTATATGTATGTGCGCATATGTATGTGCGTATATGTATGTGCGTATATGTATGTGCGCATATGTATGTGCGTATGTGGATTTGCGTTTATGTATGTGCTTTTATGTATGTGCGTAGATGTATGAACATATATTTATGTGCGTGTTTGGCAGTCAGTGTTTGCTAAGCTGTAAATGCTTGTTTTACTCTTCTCACATGCGAGCAATTGCATCTCTGTCGTGTGTGTGGCACCTTTGCACGGCACACCATGGCATGGGATGGCATGGGATGGCATGGGGCGTGGGAGCAACAGGGTGTGGCGGTGTCTCTCCTCTCCAAGCTCCTCTTCCTCGCTCTCGTCTTCTTCTCCCTGCCCGCCGCCCGACACCTGCTGAGCTGGCTGCCTGCAATTGGGCCACCTCAAGCAGCCAGCAGTCAGAAAAAGCCACATAGGTACAGAGATTTATGTCTGTCTGCATGCTTCCCCGCCTGTGGCCCCACTCTCTCTTCTCCGCCTGTGCTGCTTTCCCTCATCCCTCCATCCACTTTCCCTCATCCCTCCATCCACTTTCCCTCATCCCTCCATCCACTTTCCCTCATCCCTCCATCCACTTTCCCTCATCCCTCCATCCACTTTCCCTCATCCCTCCATCCACTTTCCCTCATCCCTCCATCCACTTTCCCTTGTTTCATCCACTTCCTCCCTCTTTCTTGGATTTGTGCTTCCTCGACCTTCATCCTCCTCCACCCTCTCTCTGTGATTCTCTTATCCCTCCCCTCTCCACACCCCCACCCCAGTGTGCCCTTCCCAGTGGTCTTCTACAGCCTGCTCCTCTCCAGCCCTCCGGAGTGCCTTGCACTCCCGCTTCTGGTGCGCTCTCTCCCTCTTGCCCTCCCACTCTCACACCCTCACTCCCTACATGCAATCTCTCGCTCTCAAACCGTATTCTCCCTTCGCTCCTTGTTGTGTGATGGCTGCTCTGCATGCCATGCATTCCCACCGTCCACCTGTGCATTGCTGTTGTGCACGCACTCTTACACTCGTAAATTGCTTTTCTCCCCATGCCATCATGTCATGTTTCACATCTCTGTTTCCATGCCACACACCCATGCCACACACCCATGCCACATGCACATGCCACACGCCCATGGCAGATATGGAAGTACGAGTGGGGCATGCTCTTCCTCTCCGTGCAAGTGCTGCTCTTCGTCTCACACATCGCCTCCTTACAAGGTAATCAGACACAGAGTTGAGAGTAGATTTTCTTACTCGCCTTTCTTGCAAAACGTATCACCAGACACAAGCAATGTGGGCAAAGAAAGGCCGATGATGTATGTCTTCCTCTCTCTTTCATGTGTCTTCAACTTGTTCGTTTGTTTTTGTTTTTGCTTCTGTGTGTTCACAGCTGTTTCCTTCATCCCATGGCCAGCAGCAGCAGCAAGCATAGCATGTGGGCACATGGCCATACATGCATTTGAGGCTAGAGCATGTGCCATGCTTGCTCAAAGCTATTGGGTCCCCAGATAATGTGGAAAAATAACCTTTCTGTTATCACCGTTCGAAACGCCTTGGCGTCCTTTGATGAGTGCTAAAAGGTGTAGAATGCTCCTGATTGAAAGTATCACTTGGTAATTCACCTTTTATCCGGAGAAGGGCTAAAGAAGTGTTGAAAGAAAGGGGTTATAGCAAGTACCGAGCAGCACTCAAAGCCATCTTTAGTCAACGGTCTTGTTCAGCCGCATTCCCCAATCAATCAATCGAAAGATTCAACAGGAAACTCAACGGGAGAGTCGGCGCCATAGCAGACCTAGTATCCCTGTGTTACGAAACACTAAAATCAACAGGAATAGTAATTTCGGTCGAATCCCGTGTTCTCTTCTCTTCGCGCGCTCGACCTACCAGTACCCCTCTCAATCGCTCTTTCACGCGCCTTGCCAACCGCATTTCCTGTGGGTTCCGCTTACCGCCGCTGCTCCAAACACGAATTCCCCCTTGTGCGGCGCAGATGGCGGGGCGGGCGGGGCGCGACAAGGGCGCGCTGCGCGCGATGATGCGCGAGATGGCGCAGAAGACGGAGAAGCGCATCGACTCCCCGCTCGTGAGGTGCGGCACTGCGCACGGGGGGGTGGTGAGGGATGGCGAGGGGCAATGATGCGCGAGAGGGGGGAGGCGAGAGGCGAGAGGCGAGAGGCGAGAGGGGGGAGGTGAGAGGGGGGACGTGAGAAGCGGGAGGGGGGAAGCGGGAGGGGGGAAGCGGGAGGGGGGAAGCGGGAGGGGGGAAGCGGGAGGGGGGAAGCGGGAGGGGAGAGGGTAGAGGGGAGAAGGGAGAGGCAAGACAATCATTCCATGCTTATGCCTTACCACGCCACACCATCCCATGCCATCGCATGTACGGTAACTCTCAAACATTTTTACTCCTGTCCGCCACCAGGTACAACGAACTGGGGCAGGCCGTGTGCCGAGTCTGCACCACCGTGATCAAATCCGAAAGCCTCTGGGCGGCACATCTTGTCAGCAAGCAGCACAAGGAGGTGCGTATATCTCTCACATGCCGCCTCTCGCCCACTCCACCTCTCTCCATCTTCCGCGCCTCTTCACCATTACAGTCTTCTCCCTTGCGCAACCCCCTCCCTTTGCCCCTCCCATCACTCCTTGCCTTCTCCCGCTCCTCTCCTCTCTAGAGTGCGGAGCGGCTCAAGCAGAGGGCCAAGGCCGCAGCACCGCCCGCTACCGCCGGTGCCACCAGTGCAGCGCCGCGACCCACAGCGGCAACAACCCCGGCAGCACCAGGTGGCGGGAGGCCTGCTGCTGCTTCTGCTGCCGGCGCCCTCCCGAGTGACTTCTTCGATTCCGCATCGGCGGCTAAACGGCCCCGCCATGGTGGGTGGGTGGGTGGGTGGGTGGTCGGGCATGGTGGGTGGGTGGGTGGGAGGTGGGGCAAGTTGGGTGGGTGGGAGGTGGGGCATGTTGGGTGGGTGGGAGGTGGGGCATGTTGGGTGGGTGGGCGGTGGGACATGGTGGGTGGGTGGGTGGGTGGGTGGTGGGGCAAGGTGGGTGGGGTACACAGTACTTTCCACAGACTCTTCCTTAGTCCTTGCTCTTTTCTCATTCTTTCTCACCCTTCTCTTGTCCCCCCGCCCCTCTCATGCTCCTTTCCACCTTCCCATCATCACCCTCTCTCCTCCCCTTCTTCGCCCCTGTCGCACCAGACATGCCGTCCGCCACTTCCACCATTGCTGCCTCTGTGCTTGCCAACCCACCAGCAGCAGCGCACCCAGCAGCAACCGCGTTGCCTGTGAGGCAATCATCTGGACCATCTGGATCTGTCCCTGCCACCTCTGCTGCCCTTGCCGCCCGTGCCACGGCGCCTGCCTCGGCAGCCTCCGCTGCTCCTCCCAGCACCACCAGCCTACCAGCAGATTTCTTCGATGCCCCTGCACCAGCTGCTGCCTCTCCTGCTGCTCCCTCTGCTCCCGCTGCTGCTGCACCCTCTTCCCCTGCTGCTCCTGCTGCTCCTGCTTCGGCCTCCGCCCTTCCGCCTGATTTCTTCGATGGACCATCAACAGCAACAGCAGCAGCAGCGGCTGCATCACCTGCCCCTGCTGCTGCAAAGGGAGGGAAGGGCGGAGGCGTCGCAGGCAAGGGGGCAGTAGGCAGGGAGGGCGGGGTGGGGCAGGGAGTGTTACCGGAGGGGTTCTTTGACAGCAAGGAGGCGGACCACAGGGCGAGGGGCGTGGAGTATAAGAAGCCAGACGCCGAGTGAGTCGCTTGTTGGGTGGGGGGGGAGTCAGTGCGCGCCGAGCATGGTTGCGAGTGGTTGGAGTTTTCTGTGTGTGTGCACGGGGCGTGGGACGTGGGGCGTGGGGCGTGGGGCGTGGGGCGTTGAATACAAGGAGCCAGACGCCGGCTGAGTCTCACTCTATGCTGAGCGGTGCTGTTGGAGGGAAGGTGTCTGTATGTGCATGTGAGTCTTGAGGAGTGCGTGTGCTGGTTGGAGTGTTGAGGAGTACGTGAGAACGCATGTTGTGCATTGCAAGCGCGCACCCAGCCCATGCGCGCTGCACTTGCTCCATGCGCGCTGCACTTGCACCATGCGCACTGCACTTGCTCCATGCGCACTGCACTTGCTCCATGCGCGCTGCACTTGCTCCATGCGCGCTGCACTTGCTCCATGCGCGCTGCACTTGCTCCATGCGCGCTGCTCTTGCTCCATGCGCGCTGCACTTGCACCATGCGCGCTGCACTTGCACCATGCGCGCTGCACTTGCACCATGCGCACTGCACTTGCACCATGTGCGCTGCACTTGCTCCATGCGCGCCGCACTTGCTGCATGCTGGTGCATGCCCGTGTCTGTTGTCCCAGTGCGCCCTCCTTGCACCCCGTGCTGCCTCGTGCATGCAGGGAGGAGCTGAGGGCGTTTGAGCGGTCAATCAAAGGCGACATGGCGCACATTGACGAGCGGCAGGAGGAGGAGGAGGTGAGGCCAGGGGGAAGAAGGGAGAGGAAGAGGAGAATGATTGGAGCGAAGAGAGTGGAACTGAGGAGCAAAACCCTCGTGACTGCTTGCCACATCGCCTCTTTGTCATCTTGTCACGTTGTCAACCTTGTTACCATGTTACCCCCATCCTCCTCCTCTCTGCCCTTTTTCTGACCCAATTCTACCATTTGCATCCTGGCTCGTGGTTTTGCATCCTGGCTCGTGGTTTTGCATCCTGGCTCGTGGTTGTGCATCCTGGCTCGTGGTTTTGCATCCTGGCTCGTGGTTGTGCATCCTGGCTCGTGGTTTTGCATCCTGGCTCGTGGTTTTGCATCCTGGCACGTGGTTTTGCATCCTGGCTCGTGGTTTTGCATCCTGGCTCGTGGTTTTGCATCCTGGCTCGTGGTTTTGCATCCTGGCTCGTGGTTTTGCATCCTGGCTCGTGGTTTTGCATCCTGGCTCGTGGTTTTGCATCCTGGCTCGTGGTTTTGCATCCTGGCTCGTGGTTTTGCATCCTGGCTCGTGGTTTTGCATCCTGGCTCGTGGTTTTGCATCCTGGCTCGTGGTTTTGCATCCTGGCTCGTGGTTGTGCATCCTGGCTCGTGGTTTTGCATCCTGGCTCGTGGTTGTGCATCCTGGCTCGTGGTTGTGCATCCTGGCTCGTGGTTGTGCATCCTGGCTCGTGGTTGTGCATCCTGGCTCGTGGTTTTGCATCCTGGCTCGTGGTTTTGCATCCTGGCTCGTGGTTTTGCATCCTGGCTCGTGGTTTTGCATCCTGGCTCGTGGTTTTGCATCCTGGCTCGTGGTTTTGCATCCTGGCTCGTGGTTTTGCATCCTGGCTCGTGGTTTTGCATCCTGGCTCGTGGTTTTGCATCCTGGCTCGTGGTTTTGCATCCTGGCTCGTGGTTGTGCATCCTGGCTCGTGGTTTTGCATCCTGGCTCGTGGTTTTGCATCCTGGCTCGTGGTTTTGCATCCTGGCTCGTGGTTTTGCATCCTGGCTCGTGGTTTTGCATCCTGGCTCGTGGTTTTGCATCCTGGCTCGTGGTTTTGCATCCTGGCTCGTGGTTTTGCATCCTGGCTCGTGGTTTTGCATCCTGGCTCGTGGTTTTGCATCCTGGCTCGTGGTTTTGCATCCTGGCTCGTGGTTTTGCATCCTGGCTCGTGGTTTTGCATCCTGGCTCGTGGTTTTGCATCCTGGCTCGTGGTTTTGCATCCTGGCTCGTGGTTTTGCATCCTGGCTCGTGGTTGTGCATCCTGGCTCGTGGTTTTGCATCCTGGCTCGTGGTTGTGCATCCTGGCTCGTGGTTTTGCATCCTGGCTCGTGGTTTTGCATCCTGGCTCGTGGTTTTGCATCCTGGCTCGTGGTTTTGCATCCTGGCTCGTGGTTTTGCATCCTGGCTCGTGGTTTTGCATCCTGGCTCGTGGTTTTGCATCCTGGCTCGTGGTTTTGCATCCTGGCTCGTGGTTTTGCATCCTGGCTCGTGGTTTTGCATCCTGGCTCGTGGTTTTGCATCCTGGCTCGTGGTTTTGCATCCTGGCTCGTGGTTTTGCATCCTGGCTCGTGGTTTTGCATCCTGGCTCGTGGTTTTGCATCCTGGCTCGTGGTTTTGCATCCTGGCTCGTGGTTTTGCATCCTGGCTCGTGGTTTTGCATCCTGGCTCGTGGTTTTGCATCCTGGCTCGTGGTTTTGCATCCTGGCTCGTGGTTTTGCATCCTGGCTCGTGGTTTTGCATCCTGGCTCGTGGTTTTGCATCCTGGCTCGTGGTTTTGCATCCTGGCTCGTGGTTTTGCATCCTGGCTCGTGGTTTTGCATCCTGGCTCGTGGTTTTGCATCCTGGCTCGTGGTTTTGCATCCTGGCTCGTGGTTTTGCATCCTGGCTCGTGGTTTTGCATCCTGGCTCGTGGTTTTGCATCCTGGCTCGTGGTTTTGCATCCTGGCTCGTGGTTTTGCATCCTGGCTCGTGGTTTTGCATCCTGGCTCGTGGTTTTGCATCCTGGCTCGTGGTTTTGCATCCTGGCTCGTGGTTTTGCATCCTGGCTCGTGGTTTTGCATCCTGGCTCGTGGTTTTGCATCCTGGCTCGTGGTTTTGCATCCTGGCTCGTGGTTTTGCATCCTGGCTCGTGGTTTTGCATCCTGGCTCGTGGTTTTGCATCCTGGCTCGTGGTTTTGCATCCTGGCTCGTGGTTTTGCATCCTGGCTCGTGGTTTTGCATCCTGGCTCGTGGTTTTGCATCCTGGCTCGTGGTTTTGCATCCTGGCTCGTGGTTTTGCATCCTGGCTCGTGGTTTTGCATCCTGGCTCGTGGTTTTGCATCCTGGCTCGTGGTTTTGCATCCTGGCTCGTGGTTTTGCATCCTGGCTCGTGGTTTTGCATCCTGGCTCGTGGTTTTGCATCCTGGCTCGTGGTTTTGCATCCTGGCTCGTGGTTTTGCATCCTGGCTCGTGGTTTTGCATCCTGGCTCGTGGTTTTGCATCCTGGCTCGTGGTTTGCATCCTGGCTCGTTGCCTATCTCTCCTTTGCCACGCCCTGCCACTTCATGGCTCTTGGTCGCATGGCATGGCATGCCATATTGCTATATTAGCGGTGGTGTAAAATCGCAAGACTCTGTGACCCCTTCTGAAGTGCAAGGTCGTTCACCATCCCCTTGTGCATATCTGTGTCATGCGATGCTATGCCACCATGGAATGCCATTATGCCATGACATCTCATGCCGTGCCATCGCATCCCATGCGATGCCATATCATGCCATTCTATGCCATGCCATGCCAATCCATGCCATGCCATGCCATGAAATGGCTCAGAGGGAGGCAGCAGACGAGCGCGAGGCGAGGGACCAACTCATGCAACGGTGAGAGCCATGCAACACATTGGTATGGAAGACACTTACATGCACCTGCAAACAAGCATGCCAACTGCGCACACACACGGCTGCCCACACGGCTTTATCACCTGCCCACACGGCTTTATCACCTGCCCACACGGCTTTATCACCTGCCCACATGGCTTTATCATCTGCCCACACGGCTTTATCACCTGCCCACACGGCTTTACCACCTGCCCACACAGCTTTATCACCTGCCTTCACGGCTTTATCACCTGCCCACACGGCTTTATCACCTGCCCACACGGCTTTATCACCTGCCCACACGGCTTTAGCACCTGCCCACACGGCTTTATCACCTGCCGCACCCAAATCCACACCATGGTATGCACCCGTCTTGCCACCATGGTATGCACCCGTCTTGCCACCATGGTATGCACCCGTCTTGCCACCATGGTATGCACCCGTCTTGCCGTCATGGTATGCACCCGTCTTGCCGTCATGGTATGCACCCGTCTTGCCACCATGGTATGCACCCCTGGTCGCTTTGCACATGGCGCACTTTTCGCTTGCCACTCTCCCCTTGCTGCCATGCAACATACCACCTACACTGCAACATACCACCTACGCTGCAACATACCACCTACGCTGCAACATACCACCTACACTGCAACATACCACCTACACTGCAACATACCACCTACACTGCAACCCCTCCCTCCCCGCGTACTGCTTCACCCATCCCCCCTCCCCGCGTACTGCTTCACCCATCCCCCCTCCCCGCGTACTGCTTCACCCATCCCCCCTCCCCGCGTACTGCTTCACCCATCCCCCCTCCCCGCGTACTGCTTCACCCATCCCTTCTTCGTTCAATCTGCTTCTGATACTCTTCACTCTCACTCACGTTTCATCAACTTCAGCAATGAGATAGTACAGTTGGGTAGAGAAAGGATGCGACAGCAACAAAGTACAGTTGAGTAGAGAAAGGATGCGACAGCAACAAAGTACAGTTGGGTAGAGAAAGGATGCGACAGCAACAAAAGTACAGTTGGGTAGAGAAAGGATGCGACAGCAACAAAGTGCAGTTGGGTAGAGAAAGGATGCGATAGCAAATTTCCACTCACACCTGCTTCATATAGAATGGAGAGCACAAATGCTGGCAGCCTATTTCTAGCAGCATCATGACCCCGTCTTCTCACACATTCACCATTCACTTTGCAACCCTCACCCCCCCTCTCCTTCCCCCACCCTCTCTCCTTTCCCCCTTCCCCTTTCCCCCCGGGTGCTCAGACTGCTTCTGGAGCGTATTGAGCGGTATCGGCACCGGCAAGCTGGGGAGAGGAGCGAGGAGGGAAAGAGGGGAGCTGGGGATGGTGCTGTGATGAATGGTGTGGGATGGAGAGGAGGAGGAGGGTTGGGGGAACAAGAGGGAGGAAAGAGGAGTGTGGATGGAGGGGAACAGGATGGGGAAGGGGATGTTGGGAGCGGCGATGAGGATAATAAGGGAGAGGAGGAGGATGGAGAGGATGGTAATGATGATGAGGAGTTGGCGGCGGATGATGAGGGAGATGAGGACGAGGAGGAAGAGGGAGGGGAGGAGGACGATGACATTGACGCAGAGATCTTTGACTGGCGAGCCAAGCGGTTGTGACAACGGTTGACGTCGTCGCTAGCATAATTTTTTTGTCTGCTTTTCCTGATATTCGGACAGATTTCTAAGAGTTTATATGATTTTCCAAAAATGAAATTTTGTACTTTCCGATAAATAAAGAATTGTGTTGGAATAACCGACAGTTATTATAACATTCTCGAATCATTCCCTTAGCTGCTGCTGCTGCGTTTTTGCGGCTGCTGCTATCGCCTGACCGTCGTGCCTGCTGCTGTGGGAGACGGACGAACTCACCACACTCCCTCTCTCCTGCTATCGTCTCCTTGGGCTCGCAGTCGCAATTCGCCACGCCTCACCCAAGGAACCTACCACAGCGCGCCAGGCCCTGTGCGGGACCGACAACGAGAAATGGAAGGCAGCCATGGCAGCAGATTCAGCAGCACTAAAGCACAGCGGGACTTGGAAGCTCGTTCCCCAATCATCTGCAAAGGGGAGGAAGATATTCAGCGGTAAATGGGTGTTTCAGATTAAAAAGATCGTAAATGGGTCAACCGATAAGCACAAAGCGAGATGGGTGGTGCGCGACTTCGAGCAAACTGACCTGGTGGACTACGTTCTGACCTTCGCGCCCGTCGGACCGCATACCTCGGTGCGCATTCTCATCTGCATCGCAACCGTCAAGCAGCGGCCACTCCGGTAGATCGACATCTCCAATGCGTTTCTATGCGCCCCCGTCGACGCCATCATCTTCGTCGAGCAACCGCATGCCTTTGAAGAAAGCGACGGGGCCATCTCCTCCAGAAGTCACTTTACGATATCAAGCAAGCACCTCGCCTGTAGCAGCAGTACTTGCACACCGTCCTCATCGAACTCGTCTTCGTTCAGCTACCGCACGACCAAGCCATGTCTCGGAAGGAGTCGTGCGGCAAGGTCATCCTTCTCGTCGCTTACGTCGATAACCTGATCTACACCGGCGATGACACGGAGCTACTTGACCGTTTCAAAAAGGACATCAAGGAGAAGCTGGAGGTGAAAATCAACAACAATGTTCACGGTTCCTGGGTCTCAACATCACCCAGTCAGCCACCTCCATCCACCTCACTGTCGCCAAATACGTGGAAACGCTTGCAAAGAAATTCGCCCCGACACCACGCCGGTGTCCACTGAAAACCATCGCCTCTATCAGCAGCAGCTGGGGTGCCTACTCCACCATCACGTGCCGGCCGGATCTCTCCTACATCGCAAGCCAGCTCGCACAGTACTTGCGCCGACCTGAAGGGGAGAATCTACTAGACCTACGCCGCGCACTCCAATACTTCATCTCTACTCCCGTCGGCGGTCTCACCTACACGGCTAACCTGACGGCTACTCTTCAGCTTCACGGCTACGTAGCGCGGCCATGCGAGAGATGTTGACAACAGATGCTCCCGCGCAGGATTAATTTTCCAACTCCAACCTATAGGACTCATCTATTGAAACTCCCAGAAGCAGGAGCTCATCGCCCTTTCGTCAGCCAAAGCTGAGTTTATCGCCGCCAGCGCAACTGTTCGCCAAGGACAGTACCTGATGGAACTCCTGTAGGAAGCGAAACTGACGACGAACGTGCACTTCACGTTACTCTACGACAATCAAAGCGCGATCAAGATCACGAACAAGCCCGGCTTCGTAAATCGCACGAAGCACATCACACTCCGTTACTTCTTCGTCAAAGACGAATCGACAAGGGCAAAGTCAAACTCGCGTATTGCCCAACTGGTGACATGGCAGCAGATTTTTTTGACCAAGAAGCTGCCACCTCAGAAGTTTCACCAGAGCGCCGACCTTTGTGGGATCTCGAAGAAATTCCACGTAGCTCACCTTCAGGAATGAAGGGGAGTGTTTGAATGACTGACGGTTATTATAACATTCCGAAAGGATTCCCTTAGCGCATTGCTTCATAACAAGGCAGCGCACCTGCACCAGCATCGCGTTATGCTCGTATAGAGCACGCGGCAGCTCGAAAGTCACTCGAAGGTCAACAGTCGTTGTTAAGTCAACGGTCGCGACTGTTAATCACCCAATAACCGTACTCGGAGGTTACATGATGCAACCTGGTAACTGTCAAGCAAAGTAATAATCGCAGTTACTATAGCAATGCAATATAGTTAATGAGGGAATGTACCCTTTATAGTACACGGCTAGCAAGATTTGCTATATAAACTCCTTGTATCTCTATCTTAATCATCTTGTTCTCTTTAATCATCATCAACAAGGTCATTACAAAGACTTCCACAGTCTTCTCACAAGCTAGCTTATCATATCGACCACGATTGTTGGTTACATCAACAGAATGTTTTTTGAATTTATCTGATCAATTAGAAGCCTGTTTTGGTTTTGTCGAATACCGAGTTCAAATGTAGAAGGGTGTTTCGCGATTGAATGGCGCTCGGAGTTCACCTACCTGCAATAAAGCTTTACTGTTAATTTTTCTACATCGAGAAGTAGCTTAGTTGGTTGAGCTAGCTTTATTAATCATGAGCATTTGAGTTCAAGTCCGAACTGTCAGAATATTATAGCTTACTCATTTGTGTAGGCTATAGTGGGGTATCCCATAGGGGGTACAACCCAACTAGGGTTTCCTATTTGTACTCACTTCGTTCATAGTTCACTCATTCTCTCGTTCACTTCTTCTCATGGTATCGAGCAGGTTCCCCTGTGGGAACTTTGCTTAGGGCCCACCACTTCGGAAAACTAATTTTTCTGCCCTAGCGCCCTAGCGCCCACCCTTGCGCCCGCCCTAGCGCCCTAGCGCCCGCCCTAGAGCCCGCCCTAGCGCCCGCCCTAGCGCCAGCCCTAGCGCCCTAGCGCCCGGCGCCTGCCCTAGCGCCCGTGAGCCGCCCGCGGCCTGCCCGTGAGCCGCCGCCCACGGCCTGCCCTAGCGCCCGTGAGCCGCCCGCGGCCTACCCGTGAGCCGCCCGCGGCCTGCCCGTGAGCCGCCGCCCGTGAGCGCCGCCCGTCAGCCGCCGCCCGTAAGCAGCCGCCCGTCAGACGCCGCCCGTGCGCCGCCGCCCGTGAGCCGCCGCCCGTGAGCCGCCCACCCGCGCGCCGCCCGACCGTGAGCCGGCGCCGCCCGTGAGCCGCCCGCCCGTGCGCCACCAGCCCGCCCGTGAGCCGCTGGCGCCGCCCGTGCGCCGCCCGTCCGTGAGCCGCCCGCCCGTGCGCTGCCCGTCCGCGAGCCACCCACAGCCCGCGAGCCGCCCGCGAGCAGCCCGCAAGCCGCCCCAGCCGCCCGTGCAGCCGCCCGTGAGCCGCCCCAGCCGCCCGTGAGCCGCCCGCGCGCCACCCGTGACCCGCCCCGGCCGCTCGTGCAGTCACCCGTGCGCCGCCCGCGAGACGCCCGCGCCGCCCGAGCCGCCGAGCCGCCCGAGCCGCCCGAGCCGCCCGAGCCGCCCGAGCCGCCCGAACCGCCCGAGCCGCCCGAGCCGCCCGAGCCGCCCGAGCCGCCCGAGCCGCCCGAACCGCCCGAGCCGCCCGAGTCGCCCGAGCCGCCCGAGCCACCCGAGCAACCTGAGGTGCCGAGCTCCTGCTCTTGTGGGGCTGCTGCTGCTCCTGGACCGGCACAGCCGCTGTGCTGCCGTGTTGCTGTACTACTGAGCTACCCGACTCTTCCTGCTCAGTGAGACTGTCAGCTGCTATAATGGCCACCCCCAGTGTCCTGGCTTTTGATGCTGAGGGTCGCGCCATTGACTTTGCAGTCTGGGTCGAGGACCTGCAGCTGTACTTACTGTGCGATGCGATAGATGAGGTTTCTCTCTTTGACTTTGTCTCTGGCGCTATCCCTGCCCCTCCTGCTGATGCTGACCCCACTGTTCGCTCCAAGTGGGCCACACGCGATGCTGCTGCACGTCTTGCTGTGCGTCGCCACCTCCCTTCCTCCGAGCGTGCGCACTTTAGCCAGTGCAAGACCGCTCAGGCCTTGTACGACGCTGTAGTTGCGCGCTACTCCTCCCCTTCCTCCGCTACGCTGAGCCGCCTCATGCTACCGTACCTCTTCCCTGACCTCGCTGCCTTTCCCACAGTCGCTGACCTCTTTACCCACCTCCGCGCTAGTGACACTCGCTACCGCGCTGCGCTTCCTGCTGACTTCCGCGCCGCAAACCCTCCTCCCATGTACATCAGTCTC